ACGTGCTGTCACAGGCAGGTTGAACTGCCGAGCCTCTTTGAGCTCCTCAAAACCTATGTTGCCTGGCGCTGCCGGAGATATGTGTCATCCTGTTTTGGAAGTTGTTATGCGTTCATTCCCGTTCGATGCCACGATTATTGACCTATTGCGGAGGGAGGCAAGCCTATTTCGAAGACCCCATCGACCAGGCTTTTCGCCAGAGATGCCATTGAATGGATATGTATTGTTCTGATCTGGGCAGCTGCAATTTTGAGATTATCATGCGGGCTTTCGTTCGGGTTGATTAATCCAATTGGCTGAGTCAATTTCTCCGTAGCTCGACAAAGTCCGGCGCTATTCCTCGATGGACATTCAGCCTGAGCGCCAGCGAGCACAGGCGAATGCAACTGCCAGGTCATACATCATATATATATATATATTTAAAAAACGGATGAAGCGCATCAATGCCGAAAAGGTGCACGTGGACAAACTCTGGCCCCGCGAGCAGCAGGCACCAAAGCCTGAGATTGGAAGTTGGAGCGACTTGGACAAAGCTGCAGGAAATGATCATGTAATCATTGAACTTCATCGGTCACAATTGATATCAAATGATGAAGTTAGGCAATGGGCTGGGTTTCAATTGTCATTGCTGAGGCTTCTTTCCCGCTTCTTCATGACATGTCATGACATGAAACCAGGTGCCCCATCTGTGCGATGCTTGCAGACGAAGTCCGTGGTCCTTGGTCGAGAATATGGCCACGGTGAGTTCTGGTTGTAGCGTTTGGCTGTAACCGGCGCTATGTACACAACAGGGTAGCCCTGTGGACGACGCAAAGATCGGGGGCGCGATCCGCGAATGGATCGAGGCTGCGCCATGGCAAGGTTCAGAAATCCGCCCCTTACGCTGCGCAACAATGACAGATCATTGACGCTGGACCTTATAAATCAGCCGGACGAGGACTTGGCAAGGCCGGGCTCGGCTATCATTGTCTATGGGGCGGACTGCGGGTACAAGGATGTTTCAGACACGGGCAATGGCGGAGTCTAGGGTTGCATTAATTGGTTTAGTGGGTTCAAGTAGTGAGGAATGCAATTCAATGCCAATGGTCACAGCCACAGAGTCACAAATATTTGACAAGTCTTCAAACAATGTTGGATAGGGCGCTGCCCCAGCACGCCCGGTCGGTAGAGAAATCCGCGAGGGAGGTCTGCAGACCGCTCCATGTTGACAGGAGGAGCCACATCAGGGCGGTGGAAATGGGTTTTCCACATCCACTACTCAGCGTGCCATGTTTCTTGGAGCCCATCATACGGCCAACAACAGGAACTGATGGTCAGAACCTTTCGCGTGACTAAGTGCTGGTTTTTGTGACATGTAATTGTTCAATTACATTTGCACACGTCGCCAGCACCCAAGCTCACAAGCCCACACAGCAGCGGCACCCTGCAGTGGCAACAGCGCCCAAGCTCCCAAACGCACAGCCAACCATTCTTGATATCCTGCTGTGTCAGAACATGTAGAGACGAGACGACCGCTTTAAATCCTGCTATAGAAGAATAATGAGGAGTTTTTGGTGTCTTATGTTAATGCTATTGCGTGACGAAGGCAGAAAAGAAAATTCGGCTTCGCCCATGGGGCAGGTCTTAGGGAGCAAATGAGTATTCTCTCCCCTGTTTGATTCTGATTTCTCCGCTTCGTTTGCGTCGCCAAGGCCGGGACGATCAAAAGAAGTGTCCGCCCTCACAGAGAGAGGTGGTGAGGCGGAGGCAGCTGGGATCAGGGGTGGGGAAGACCACTCTTCGTTTCAATTCAAACACTTCGAGGCTTAAGCATCGACGGATCAACACCTTTTTGATCCAGAACCCTGCATATTTGTTTGCCAAAGTTGGGGTAGGCTATTGACCATCACTGGGACCTTGGCACAACAACCCACGTTTTTTGTTCCCTTCAACCGTATATTATATTTGTTCAGTGCAATCCTCTGTGTGTGTTTGTTGCAAGAATTGGGCTTTTGTAAAATTTGTCATATGTGCAGGTCAGCAAATCCCAACCGAAACGCATTTTCGGAACGTTTTTTGCTAGACCACTGAAGACACGGTCTGACATATTTTTTGTTCTGAAGTCATCGGTGCAGTCATCGTTCGGTGCACATCAATGGGCCTTAAAGGATTAAGTAGACTCGACTCTAGACTCCCAGGGAATTGTTGGTCACTCCATGCCTCACAGTTCTCTTGGATGGTTTCAATGTAGCTCTGAGTTCTGGGTTTTGTTTTGCGAAGTTTGCTCACATTCCAGTTTTCTTCTTGGGTTTTTGTTATATAATTTGTTGATACTGATTGGACATGTTTTATTTCTTTCGGACCTACATAACCACTCCAGGAATTACTCCACGTCTGGCACATGCTATATTTGCCGATCATTTGGGGTGATTAATTTCAGGGGTCAATGCAGACTCTATTCCTGTCCAGTCCCATGGAGATTTGGAGTGTTTGGGCCGCTACTGACAGCGAACCACCCGTTGCCAGGACAGGAGAACGCTCCAGCATGGTATAAGGTACTTTACACGTCAACCCCCTCATTCGACTGAAGCTGATCATTCAGAAAACACTATATACTCGATGAAAGGAGGACTATAGTATAGGTTTTACATGATTCTACTGTGTTTTACTGGTTTTGCTCAAATGGATTTGTCCTTTTGTACCCCCTACTTGAACTACTTATATGGGTCAACCCCCTTTTGTTCAAGGTTTCCTGACGTAAATCCGTTCGAAGCTTGACCGCATTGCTTCGCCTGGGGACGTGGGGAAACTCCCACCGGCGCAGGCCGTCGCCCGGACCTTCCGCTTCGCGCGCCAGTGCGCGCGGAGCCCGAGACGGCGCCGGGAGACGCCCACTGATGCAGCTCTATGAGCGTGTAAGTGCACTTGGTGGAAATTTGTTGTGCTATTCGCATGTGTTTCTTCGCAATCAACAGGAAGAACTGCTGCATGGCTAATTATTTTAACTCTGAAAGTAGATGATCGTTGGCTGTTGTCCAAAGGTTGCAAGCAGACAACATGTTTGCAAATTGAAAGCATGGGGATGACTAAAACGGGCGTGGTCGCAGCTTGCACTCCCATCGGCCACGGTGTGAAACTCACACGCTTCGTGTTTCTCGGCCCAACGGCCACACCGACGGAGGCCGCCCAGAAGCTGCCCATGCCCAACTTGAAAAACTTCACCTTGGGCGCCGCCACTCCTTTGACGGTGCCCAACTGGTCCCTAGGCCGGACGGGACGTACGGTGCTGGGTACCTGACTCGACCCTCCGCGCCGGGGGGTGGGGAGCGGTGTCCCGTCTGGGACTGCCATGTCGGACTGCCGAGTTTCACGGCCAGGGGTGGTGGTGCCAGGGGGGTCTGTTTGGGGCGGCAGTCCTATGCCAGTCCATGGGAGTGTATGGGTTTGGTTGAAAGACATGAAGTGGAGGACCGCCTTTTGGGGACTTTGGACAGCCTCACGACTTGGTTGCAACACGTGTGAACACCTGACGGTTCATTCCACCTTCCATGTTTCGGAGGTTGTGACATGTTGTATAACACAATCCATTTGATGTTTTGGTGAAATCCCACCCAACATTGAAAGTGCATGGAGATGTCTGTGTGTGCGTTTTGAAGCAGAATGAAATTTGCTTCATCGTTATGACCCTTTGGTCCTCTTGCGACTTGGATGTCGGCCTGAAAGGTCATCGGTCACGCCGATCCAAGGAACCCACCAAGCAAGAATGATGGGGTACGGTGGCCAACAGGAGGGTCGTTTTAATCCGGTCCACCGATTAAAAATCATGCCCCCCCCCCCACAAGAAAACCTCGGTCGCATTTTTTCTAATAGGGGGTCCCTGAAATCCGGGGGTCCAAAATAGGGCTTTAGGGTCACCTGGAAAGAGTTTCAAAACCAAAAAGTCATCCAGAAATGTTCTATATAAAATCCTCTATTAAACTCGTGTCAAAAATGCAAAAACCTCCAGATCAAATGGTCTTCCTTTTCCCCTACAAAAACTTTCGTTAGAATAGTGATTCTTCAGTAGACTAACAGCTAAAGCTTTCGAAAGGTGATGTCGCTGTGCCATGCGGTGTTGCATGACCTCGGTGGCAAGTGCGTTTGCGTGAGTCCGTGCCATTGGGGGAAGGAAAGCCTGCTGGTGTAAGCGCGGCGTGTCATGGTGGATAGACAGGGCGGACAGAGGTGGGCAGTTACGGTTGTTTTTGGAACCTAATAAGAAAAGCCCTCCAAAATCGGCCATGTTGGTAGTTTAGTAGCGGCTTGAAAGGGCGGTAATTAAAAAACACATAAATTATAAGCTGTATATAGGGGGGGCCGACATGACTTTTTATCAATTGGTGTCCGTTCTTTAATAGGTACTCGGGATTATTCAACCCAAGCCCGGACCCCGGTAAAGACTAGTAATGGCTTGACCGCGTTTGCTTAGTGAAATGGTTTGAACAAGTCCTGGTAATCAGCAGTTCGTGTATCTTCTCAAATGGATTGTGCATCATTAGAGAAGTTTAAAGTTCCGTTCCTATAATGCAGTTCTACTTGTTGATATCCCACACTAGCCAATTAATTCCACCATGAGCATCTGCAGGGACTCACGGGTTCTCACAAAAGAACATGGGGGGTGTGGTGAGACTTAGGGGGGTCTCACCACAGCGTCGTTCGCAAGCTTCGAGGCGATGAACCCTTGCTGGCTTTGGCCTCCAGTCCTTTGCGGGAGCTGGGAGAGTGGAGAACGGATGAAAAACTCCCTGTTGGGAAAAAGATGGAACAGGTGATGTTGATATGGTAGCTGGGCGATTCCCCTGGTTGTGGCGAATCGCATGGATCCTTTTTTGGATTCCGGTTTCAGTTCCGGCAAATCCTGGCGTTCCGCTTTCTTTTTGGGGGAATGCATGGACAAGGCCAGTGGAGTCCTACACCTTTCTAAAGCCAAAAAAGGAACTTCCCATGCCATTTGTTTGGCGGGCCGTATCCGGTTCTTTTCCTCGCTCTGCTCGTGGCTAATTGGGATCTCTTCAAGTCAAACTTGACGACAGAATGGCAGCATTTGTTGTACACAACCAATTCCACATCATTTGCGCGTTTGACCCGTACACACGTGATCCAACAATGGCCGCAACTTGGGCAATCCTCTTCACCAGTTGCCTGCATTCAATGGCCTTCGAACCTTCACCTATTCTGAACCTTTTTGGTCAGGGGGTGGGCATATGCAACATACAAGCAAATAGCAGCTAATGTGATTTATACTACCCCCAGATGAGTTAGGAGTTGTGCCAATTATGAGATGGGTTGTTTGTTGCACAAGTCCTGACACATGTGTCTGAGAAAAGTTGACTGAATACGTTCAGGAGGCACATGAGATCGAAGTTATACTGGTTAAAACGTTTAAATGTAGTCCACCGTGTAATAACGGTTTCGTCATGTATAGGTCCGTGTTTTTTCCGAGCAGATAAGAGTCAGATGGTTTCGTCCTTGGAGTGCTTTTTCATCCAGGAAATATGCAGAAGTCGGGTGAACGATGGGTGTCTCAGGGTGCCATGGAAGAATTCTTATATGGGTGTAAACTACCAGTGTCCGACAGGTGCCAGACACAGGGTATCTCTATGAGGTGATCAGAACACCAAGGTTTTTCTATCAAAATAGCAAGAAACAGCAAGTACATTGATCAAAACAACATTGTTTTACTCTTTGATGATGGTTTGTGGTGACATTGTTTGAGGCAATTGATACGTTCAATCCACTTGGAACCACCTCCTGTCGACCGCTCGTTCCGCGGCGCCCACGTCCGCCGGAGAGCTCTCCAGGAGAACGTCGCCAGGGTCGAGGAAGGCAACTTCCGCGGGAACAGGCGCATCGATCGGTCATCATGCAGGTAGTACCCAAACACCACGCGGATGGGACTAGTGACTAGGCTGAATGTTTGTGTGTGACTAGTTTTGACTAGGACTAGTGACTAGGATGGGACTAGTGACTAGGAGGTGACCCCTTCTGTAGAGCAAAAAAAAGAATCCCGCCAACGTCCATCCGAAGCGGTGGTCTTTCGGCAGTTTGGGTGCTCACCGATGTTGGGGCCGGTTGGAGCATGTTTTGAGCCTTCATTCAGGAGGACAGGAGGACTGCTTGTTGCCATTTGCGGAGACTCCAAAGCCACAATGCCACCCTGCGAAAGAAAAAGTGTTCAACAAACTTGTGAGATGCTTGCATTCTTCAAGACCCCACGATTGGAGGACCTTTCGGGACAAAACTGATTGGTGTATATAACTCATACAAAAATCAAGGCTGGATCCTTTAAGGAACCTCAATTAGCAGCTCCAGCGGTTAACTTCTCAGGTAAAACTGGATCCTTTTCTCAATCGGGGGTTCAATGTTTCCTCGTTCCCTAGTTTTGTCACCCCAGTCCAAAAGGCGATCGACTTATATAAATGTGGACTCAAGCGAATGATAATGTGAGAGAGGAAACATGAGGAATCCCTGAAGCTTCCAGCATGTGAGAACATTCTCTTGCGACGTAGGCACAACACCCCCTGAAATGCTCCAAATCCTCCTCCCAGGCTCAGCAACAAAGGAGCCGCTTGGCATGTTCAGTCTTCCCAGAAATTCCAGCTTGGGCTGGTCTTGCGTCCCTTGCGACATGGAGATATCAGGAGCACCGGTTGGAACCACCGGTTGGAACCGGGGAGAACCAGGGCGAATCCGTGACGAAAGGGTCATCGAACGTGACTCGGGACGTCGAACTTGGGCGTCGATCGAAGGCCAGGGGCGTCCGGTTTGTCCTGTGCCTTGGGTCTGTCCTGTTATGGGGGGTCGCGCTGGCGTCTCAGGGGTGGGTGCTTTGCGGGTGCCGTCGGGGTGTGATTCCCTGTCAGTTGCCTGTGGTGTCGGCGTCGGATTGGTCGGCGCCCCCCCCCTTCAAGGTCAACAGGATCAGCGGGGTCTGAGGTTTGGGGGTGTCTGAGGGCGCGTCCCCCTAATAAAGGTGATGACCTGATGATGGATGATGAGATGAGGACCTGGACCTGATGATGGATGATGGTTCATGAGATTGAACCACATGAGAACCATGAGAGCTTTGAGTGTATTGGCACAAGTTTGATAAGAGATCATATAGGATTGATCAGAGAGCCATGCCAATTGGATCATTGAATATCAGAGCATGGAGGTGGAGGCTATATTTGTGGTGAGGGCGGGACCCACGGACCGGACGGTCCGACGACCGGCGGCGTGGAGGACCGGCACGACCCCATGGCATATGAGGGGCCAGAAGACCAGAGACGAGCACAATAGCACGGGCACCCCAGCACGGAACCGCAGAAGGCGAGACGTCGAGGCACCGGCCTGACAAAGCCGGTGCCACCGTAGGGAATCGGGCGGGGCAGCCAGCATGGTGTCTGCGCACCCGGATGCAGCGCACGGGGCGACTGTATCGCAGAACGAGCCCATGCTGAATACCAGAGCAGCACCTGAGCAGCTTAGACGAGCACGCGCAGATCTACTACCTTGCCGGCATGCGCATATTGGTAATTATTGTTAATCAAGTGTTTGCACGTCTTTGCATGCGCATCACATCCCAGGACCGGTGCACCTACACCATTGGGGCCCAACGACGCCGGACGGGACACATCCCGGGACGAGGCCTGTCTGCGCAGGCAAGGCCACATGCTCATCAACAGCCACTGGTTGACCAGATGCAACTGCTTTCAAACCCCCAACCAGACAAACCCCTTACAGTTCCACGGGTCAATCCCTCACTGAGCGGCGCCAGTGTCGTCGCGCCGAGGACGGGTCCTCCGGACGAAGATGCCCCATGCTGGCACGGCGGAGACCACACATGATGATACCGGCAAGGCGACGAGACCCAGAACGAGTTGCAGCCTTTTTAAACACCATAGCTTATTTTTCCATGATCGGCCGATCAAAGCAGACAGGTTCCATTTTGCCATCCGGCATGACCACAACACCGACCCACGTGCCATCTCAGGAGCACATGCCACAAGAGTGAGAAGCCGACGGCCACACACGAGAAGACGACCCATCCGGGACAACCAGGGTCAGCAGCACGAGGCGACGGGTGCTCCAACCGGCTGAGGCCGAGTGCATGACTGGCCGGCCAGGCCAACGAGCCGGTTTCACGAGGCAGACCCCCGAGGAGCCAGACTCGGCCAACGCATCCACATGTAAACCACCAATGCATATGAGGCTATTTGGGCACGAGGCCATTAGACACGAGGCTACTTTTTGTATCAGCAGCCTCCAACACCCACGAGCCCATCTCAAGATCGCAGCCACGAGCGCCAGCAACGCATCGACGGGACCACTGATGCCCATGCGAACCACGCGCCCACGAGAACTATCACCGCCCACAATGATACTTTGATGCTTTCCAACGGGACCACCAGCAATGCCTGTTCAACGAGATCTGAGATCAAACCGAGGCAAGCCGCACACGAGCCGACGAGGTCACACGCACGGCTTCGAGCCGCGGGCGGATCGGCGGAGACCGGCGACGCCAGAAGACTGGCGGACTTGCAGCGGGCGGACGGGCCCGCGCGCACTGTGCGCGCGACCACAAGCATGCATATATTGCGCCAGCCGGCGCGTTAACCATACGCTTGGCCACATGCGCACCTCATATTGCCACACACGTGCACAACCAGAGACTTCGGGCCCAAGAAACCAGCGAGGGCATCAATCTCACAGGCACGTCGCATCCATGGCACCGAGCCGGACGCGTACATTTTCCCCATTCCAACCCGGAACAAGCTTGCAGCGCCGGGCGAGGGCACGAGCGACGAAGACACGAGCGACACCGGTGAGTACGAGGGCGCCCCATTTGATGAGCACCCCGAGGCGTATGAACAAGTTGAGGAGGGTGATGCTCCATTTGGTGAGCATCCTGAGGTGCATGAGAAGGTGTCCAATCAGTGATTTGATTGGGAAGATTTGGGTGAGAAGGAAACTGAATGGGGAAACCATGGCATTGGGAAACCATTTGGTGATACTCTCTTTGATTGGGAAGAATTGGAGAAGGAAGAGGATTGCAGGATGAAAGCATTGGAAGACAAGAATGAGGCCAGAGGGTGGGATTGATTAATAAGGGGAGGGAGTCCTACTATTGGAGGGGGGCAGGGCCTGTGTGAGGGGTACCCTTTCTGAGCTTGAAAATGTTAAGATTTCGATAAGAGTTCTAAAAGCGGAAAATGAAAGAGTTTTGCCAGAGAGTTTTTGGTGTTTTGGGGGCTGGTTGGTAGCACGAGCCCTTAATTAGGAGAAGCCATCAAAAGGATTGGTGAGCAGGATGAGGCAGTTGAGAGGTGGTGGTGAGAATCAGGAAGATGAGGAGATGAAGACACCAGTCTCTAAGAGCATGAGGACTATGAGGAGTTCATCATTTTCATCAGCCCCTTCTATGAGCCTACCTTCTCGTATGAGCAAGGTGGAATCAGATCCATCAACCAAGAGAAGGCAATTGGGGATCAGGAGATTCTTTAGCCCTGGGAGTGGGAGCGATGATGGGGCTGTGCTGGCCACTGATGAAGACATTGGGTATACAGAACCTGCTATGAGCAAAAGGCCCACAGTGAAAGAAAGCATCAGGCAATTGATGGTTAGATCTGGTGAACTGGAAGCAGTATGGTTGAATGAGAAAGCCATTGGTGACATTGCAAATAAGGTGAAGGAAAAGGGGGAAGACCTTGGATGCCAAACTCTATGAAGAGAGGGGTGTATGGTGGAAGCAAATCCAATGTGATTAAGAAGGATGAGGCCAAGGAAATGGGAGCTGCCAATATCCACCAAACATGCTATTTGCAAGAAGCTTCATGGGGCAAGGCAAGAATTTCCCAATGAGAAGGATTTGCTGAACCATTTCAGCAAGCAGCTCATGATGAGACCTCAGCAGTTGAGGGAAATTTTCAATGAGAGGTCATGGGCAGTCAGAAGATGGATCTAGCATGGAGGTATTATCAGCTGCTAGCATTGGAGAAGAAGAACCTTGAGGAGCAAAGGGATGAGCTGGAAGATGGTGCGCAGAAGGTCATTTGTATGAGCAAATTGGAAAAGGCTGAATCCCAAATGAAGACTATCTCAGATGGCCATAAGCAAAGGGAGAAAATGGCCAACAGGATTATGGATGCTATTCGTGCAAAGCATGTGACTCCAAATGTGTTGGCGCCATTGAGCCATGAGGAGCAGCAAATTGGAGCAGAATTGGCATGGCAACATCATGACTATCTGATGAACTTGGTGTCCATGGGCATGAAGATCTGAAGCACTATGTGGCAAAGCCTGATGAGGTCAAGGCTAACAAGATGAAATGTATGCTTGGATTCTCAGATCAGGTTCCTGTATGGGTGAAAAAGGGATCAACTCAGGCTAAGAGACCAGGACACATGGGAAACCCATCAAAAAGATTAGAAGAAAACACCTCGCAAATGAGCTGAGCAAGCGAAGCCCATGAGAAGAATTGGGTGGATGAGGCTGAGGACCATGCAGCATTGGAAGGTGAGGAACCCAATGAGGACCATGCAGCATTGAAAGGACCCAATGAGGACCTTGAGGCGCTGGATGATCAAAAGATGCATGCTTGGCAATTGGTGACCACTGAGGATCAGAAGCATGGGGGAAGGGCTCATTTGACTATCAAGAAGGACTGAGCAACTGAGAGGATGAGCATTACTTTTGAGGCCCGTCAGCTGATGAGCAATTTCTTTAACCCTGATGAGGACCCCGTTGGACATGTGGGCAAGGGGGTGCTCATTGTGCCTGGGCAACATGCAAGATTGCGGACAACATTGATGACAGTGGTAGGTGGATCAAGGATGAATCATTCTGCCATTTGGGAGATATGAAGGTGCATAGGAAGGGTGAGAGTGCCAGGGGGGCATTGGAGCACACTATGATGTCTATTCACAACCATCCTCCAATCAGGACAATGTCATTATGTCATGTGTCATTGCAAGGCCAGGGAGGATGTACCCAGCATCCATCTATCAGAGGGATTGCTTTGCTGCATCATTTAGTGATGACACATCCAAGATGATGTATGCAGCCCATCAGTTGCAGTCTATCATTCCTCCAAAGATGACATCTATGATGCAATTGACAGATTCAGACTTTAGCTATGTGTTTAAAAGCTTGATCAGGAAATCTGTTGATGAGACCATGGCAAAGGGGCAGCAGGCTATGGACACCAGTGAGGTGTATCAGATGAGCGTGAAGGATATTGCGCAAAGAATAAGGACAAGAATAAGAAGAAGCATAAGATGAGTTGGATGAAGGAGGCCAAGAAGCATATGCATTAGAACATGAAGAAAAAAGCATTGGAGGATGTGGCCAAGGAAAGCTATCAAAGAAGAAGGCACTGGAGGATGGGGGTCATGAGAAGCATGATGAGAAACCCAAGCAGGAGAAGCTTCCATTGGGGGATAAGAAGCCAATCTCCCATTGCCACCACCAGCATGGGCACCCCCAGATGGATGGTAGGGAAAGATCAGGTCATCAGTGAAATGGCTGGAAGTACTCTGTATGGGAGGCAGGGTGACGCATTGGGCCAAGGGGAGATGTCCATATGCTTTTGGAGGAGGATTGGAATAAGGGTGAGCAAACATTGGTTTTGGGATGGGCGCTCATCAGGTGAGTAGCGAATGAGAAGAAGCTGGATGAGTTGGACCCTGTGAGATTCATGCGTCCCTCTATCAGCTATGGCCTTATTTTCTATCAGAACAATGAGTATGGTCACAAGGAGCTGGTGGCACCATGGGAGAAGATATCAGAGGTTGCCAAAAGGCTCTTTGCTGATGAGGGCAAGCTGTATTTGATCACCATTCCAGCTAGGGGGCATTGGACACTGGTGCTGGATTTGAGGATGGGTGTGCCTTTTGATAGGCAGGTCAGGCATTGTGAGACATTGGAGACCCCATCAGATTTATCCAAGGAATGTGGTGAATTGGTATTGGCTGCATTGCTCCGAATGTGGTGAATTGGTATTGGCTGCATTGCTCCAATTGGGTATCATTGATGAGAAGCTCTTGGATAGGCCCCCC